TGTGTCTGTGTGTGTGTGCGTGTGGAGTATAAAGTGACCCTTCGAAACTTATATTAGATCTGTTCTTTTTAGTTGAACTGAATTGCAAAATTCACTTTTTTTTTCTTCACGTTTTAGAAAAAAGAAGAGAAAAGATAAAGAAGATGTAAGAAGTTTAGTTAAAAAGAACAAAGTCTTTAATATGATACACTTTGACCCAAACGAATTTTCTCTTCCCTCTCGAGGCTTCGCTAATTCAAGATTTAGGTGTGTAATGAATGATATTATCAGATTATCTGTCTACAATGTTCCCGCCCACCTTGCCTCTAGGTCATCGAACAGCCGGCGAGGTTTACTCTTTTCGCCAAGGCCGATACCCTCCATCTCACCCTCCTCCCTTCACCATCTCGTCATCTCCGTGGATCTGCGTATTTGCGTAACAAGCGAAGGTCTCTTCTACATTCTGGAGGCCGTCGCATTCCTCATTCTTTGCGACAACTCTCGCGATTACTCGCGGCTGTCGCCATTCATCCGGCCTTTCTGATCGTTCACAATCTACCTGAATTTAAGCGTGAGAAAGAGAAAAAAGAAGTATCTCTGAAAGTATTCAATAATTTAAGGGAACATTTTTATCAAAACTCGTAATGTCATCATTATTAGTATTTTTTTTTTAAATTTATGAATAGTCATCTGGGATATTTTTACACCTCAAAAAATGCGAAAAAATGTGATTTGTAAAATATTATTTTGCATGTTGTTTAATATGCACATATTTATCTTTTTTAATAATTATTCTTGACGAAACTTTAAATATATAATTCTATTATATATCGAAGACTCGTAATAAAATAGCATTTATATTTTAAATTAAAATTTTTTATTTTAGGAAATACTATCATAATAAGTTATTGAATGTTCTTCAACTTATTTGTTTAATTTCTACTTACCTGTTTATTACGTATGTATCAAAAAATTGTGATTAGATCCATATCTATAATGTTCTAGAAATACTAAATAAATCTAATAAATCGGAAAACAATAGCATATAATATGTCAATATAATAGTAATTATTTTAATTGGGGTTAAAAATATCCTAGATCAGATTTACATAAAAAAAATTAGGTGACTATTTCCGAGTTAATTAAAAATGATTGCAAGAATTAGAGGATTTTAAATTAAATATAAAAATACTAAGAAATTACAAAAAGAAATGGCGAGTAATAATATTCATTTAGAAGATTCGATGTCAAAATGATCTAAGAAGAATACGATTTAAAAATTTTGAATATTTCAGTATTTTTTACTGCAATACATTACAAGATGACATATTGTGGTCGATACTATTTTTTGTTTTTTAACGCGATGATCAAGAGAGATATACCGTATTTAATGTAAGTATAATCATGGTAAGGATAAAAAAATGATGCGCTCGATTAGATCAGAGTAATGCGCTACTTTGTGAATCTAAGAACTATGGACTATTATCGGTTTCGCGGAAAGCAAGATGCGGGTTAATTGTGCTTGATATATCGATTTACGGTGTAATCTGGTCGAAGCAATATGACCAGCTAGGATATACAGGTGAGTCTCGTTTATCAGCGCATTCCTAAGAACATGATATAGTCTCGTAATGAAAAAGATTTCCAAGAATTTAGAAATAAATTCTTAAAACCATAAACTATGAAGGAATATTCATGATTTTAAAATCTTTGACGTTTATAAATTCGGATCATCTACAATAGATGTTTTAAGCCATAAGAAATTGACCATTGCAGTCGAATGCGAGGAGAATAATTGATTGATTCGTCCATTCCTTATGGCTTAAGGCTTAAAAATCTATTGTAGATCCCCGGGCTTAAGAAACATTTTGATGAGAACTTCAGACAATTCTCAGAAATTGTTTCGAGCAATTATATAAAATAATAATATTGCAAATTGCCATATAATATGATTAATTTAACGCTAATTTAATATTAATATGTTTAAATAATTGAGTTGCCCTCGTTGCATTTACACATTATTAACCGACACAAAATCAATGTCCAGATGGTATATTGATCGCATATGTCCCTATATATGTACATATGATTGTTTATTATACTCCAATACTGCGACACACACGCACATATACACACAAATGCTTTCACGTATCCTGGGAGAGTTTACAGCAATTACTCTGCTGCATACTGCGTCGTAATCGGAGTATTAATTTAATCACGATTCTCGACATTGTGGCACCGTGTGAGGGAAGCTTCGTTTACCTGTTTTAATTGATAACCAACTGGATTTGCCCAGTAATGCATTGAGCGAAGTCGGCGTTCGATACTTTTAAATTTAATTTAAACTATCGGAATTCGTGTCGAGTGTGCAATATATCGTATGATGTATCACTGAAAAAAAGTCTGATAATAGGTAACATTACCAGGTAAGAATTGCCAAACAAGGATTGTTAGTCTGCAAAATTAAATCATTCGGAATTATAAATGTAATTACAAACAGCTGATACATTTAATCGGCTCCATGTTGTTCGTAATATTGACGAGCAAACAAATAAATTAATAATTCGTTGCACTAGTATAATATATACAGAAAGATGTATGATTTTTGGGAACATATTCTGTTCACCGGGAAAAACACCGGGTTGACGCAGACGTATTATATAAAATTCAAGTAAATGCTTGGACTGAATCGAATTATACATGTATATAAAAAGAGTCGAGAATTATTAATCAACAATTTGATTAATAATTAATTACTAAATATTTTGGAAAGTAAAATTATTTTTGGTTACATGGTTAATCGAATATTTGATTGGCATTATTTTACTCAACATTTGGTAGTTCGATTCTTTTTAGTGTACATCATTCGATTTCATCCAGGTATTTGCTTGAATTTTATATAACACATCCGCGTCAACCAGTTTTTCATCCCGGATGAACAGAATATGTTACTAAAAATCGTGTATCTTTCCGTATATATAAGTAACCTGTTTGACGTATTATTTATTTGCTCGCTCGATATTGCGAACAACATGGAGCCGATTAAATGTGTCAGTAGCTTACGCTGTTTGTTATTACATTTGCAATTCCGAATGATTTAATTTTGCAAACAAACAATTCTTGTTTGGCTTTAATTTTCACTCGGATATTAGGACATAACTTTTAACGGCTTCTTTAACCTTTAAGTGGAATGATGGTTTTTTTAAAGCCTTCTTCTGTAAAAGAAAAATGAAAAGTATATTTCCCAGAATTCTTTTATATGTATAAAAAGAACGGCTTATGTATAAATCAATTCACAGAAGTCCTTTTTTTTAAATGTTAATTGTTTTTACATTTCTTTATCTTTATAATAAAAAGGGAATAATTAATATAAATCACTATAACATATTAATAAAAAATATAACTATAAAGATATAATTTTTTTTGGGGTTATTTGAGTACTCCATTTACTAAATTGCGAATTTTTAGGCCACTTACTTAAAAGTTATTGGGAAACTTTGTACTTACACGTATTATATACAGATGATTTATAATTATTCGACTTGTGCATCGTTAGCTGCTAATGATGAGAAGTCGCAAACCGATGCCAGAATTAACTACAAGGATGTTTCGTATAATGTATCTAATTTTATCGAAAGCAGGAGCAAAATCTCTGACGCTTTATTGATTTGCGCTTGGTGAATAGAACCGCAAGTACGTAATTTCCCTTAAGATATTATTTTCGTCTTGTTAATTAATTCGCTGGAAAAAAAAGTCTGATAACAATAATCTGATAATAATAATTAAACCTAGATGATATTACAAAATCTTTAAAAAAAAAATTTAATCAAAAATTTAATCAAATGTTTGATTAATATAATCAAAGCCACCTAAACGTTAATGTTTTTAATTATTACATGAAAACAATGATTTTACTGAATTATCTAAAAATTCAGCTAGATACAGATCGGAAAATAATTTTATTTGATTATCAAAACAATCGTGGGAATCTCAAACATAATGAGCAATACTGCAAAAAGTTTTGACATTCTAGCAACCAGCTTGAGCATCCTACATAAATATTTTAATGAATCAACAAAATTATTTTCAGATCTATATTTAGTTAAATTTTTAAATACTTTCGAAAAATCATGTTTCCTCCATCTCTTTTGATTATTATAGTACGGTTGATTATTATTATTATATAATATATGGTAATATTTATTAAATATTGCACCAATACGCTAAACAAAATACTGATAGCTATTACCAGACTTTTTATTAAAATCTATTATAAATTTACTACAAAGATTACAAATGTTCTTATTTCAAAACCGTTCATAATTAAATTGTTATTGAAATATTAACAACTAATTTTAACAACTGTACGTTATGTTTGGCGTTATAATAATTACGGATTCATTTCCAAAGTGAATTTATTTTCGCGAGAGATTTTTTCTTTTATTCCTGGAACGCAGGAAATTACGGATATGAAGTATTTACACGTAGCATCTCGTGGGGAAATTTCTTCGCAGAAATCAATCGACTTCGATTGCGAATGAGAAGAAGCAGCTGGATTTTTCTTTTAATTCTATTCGCAGAAAACGTTCGATCGCTGGCAATGCGTTAATGGATTTGAAAATCGCGTTTGTGCGCGGTCGGTCGTAATGATTATTCCATCTGCGAGTGGAATTCGACTTGACGCGAGCTCATTTCCTGGCTGGAAAGCAACGTCCGTGTTGATCGAAATCGCGCCCGGCCAGTCCATTGAAGAAAGTCGCATTCATTTGGGCGTAACGTCGCCCACATATATTCGTTCAGCCTAAAACGTAGCGTATGACTCAGCTCGTGACAACAAACTCATATCTCGACATCCGGTTTGTAACACGGAAAGAACAATTTCGCTAAATTATTTTTTAAATTAATTAAATATAGATTTGTGAAAATAATTTTATTGCGCCATCAAAATAATTGTGTAGAACGCTTAAACGTTCTTGACAATGCTGCAAAGTTTTAACAGTTTAACAATCAGTTTAATCGTTTTATAATTATTTTGATAGTTCAAAATTATTTTCAGATTTATTTCTAGATGGATTTTTTTTAGATTAAAACAAGTCTATACATATATAGAAATGTCGGTTTTGTGTTCTAAAAATTTGAGTAGATAACACATCTGAATATAATTTTGTTAAGTCATAAAATAATTGTGTAGGACGATTAAGTTGATTGTTAAAATGTCACAACTTTTTCCAACGTTGTTCACGCTTGAAATTCCTACGTAATTATTTTGATCCAACAAAATTATTTTCAGATCTGTATTTAGCTAAATTTTTTATCGATTTAGCAAAACCATTTTCTTTTTATATACGGTCGTTAAAATGAGCTTTCCAAATTCGCGCTTCAATGATATTGCGGAACTTTCGTGAATGTTTCGCACTGATGAATGCTTTAACTAAACAATGTATTTAAAAATTAAAAGATATCCGCTATATCGCCACTTAAGCTTCTTATCACACAGACGTATATCATGGACAGACAAGTTGATTGAAGGTCGATAAATTGCATTCTACCGAATCATTATACGCCAATATTGTCACGATT